TGTATAGCTTAATATTCCTGATTTCAAAAACAAGCTTTCAAATTGTAAGGGGGAAAAAAATCCCAAACAAAATACTGGTAATGAAAATTCCCATTAAGTAGAAGCTTATCTTCTTGGTAATATTTTGTTTCTCTTGGATGAAATAGGCATCCTGTGATGTTTGAAGCTTGTTGTTTATGCAGGCATATTTTCTGGGAACCAGATGCTAGTAAGCTGAATAAGAATTACTGTCGGAATCCTGATGATGATGCCCATGGTCCCTGGTGTTACACAGGGAATCCTCTCATTCCTTGGGATTATTGCCCTATTTCTCGTTGTAAGTATATTTATTAATCTTTTTTCAGGGAAAATATTGAATATGTACTGCATCTTCACTAAAATCATACTTTTATCAGACTGTAAAAGCATAGTATACAGGAGGCCTTGAGTTAATTCCCAAAATGAGGATGTTCTACAGGCGTTGAAGTGGGTATCTTCATTTCTTCTCTAGACAAGATGGGATTTTTCTCTTTCAGAAGATTCCCATTTGGAATTCAGAATCAATAAATGGCCATAGTTCTAATATGACTGGGCTAGAAAGACCCTCTCCAAACACACACACACACACACACACACATCTGTACCACCTGGTAAGAGCGCAAATTAACAGAGCTCTCAGTAAAATCCTGAGCCCCACCAATAGGCCAGTGAATAGACCTGAGATGGCAGTGCTTCTATCTCCTCAGTTTTTTACCCCAAGATTAAGAAGACTAGAGCACTGTTAGGAGCTCTGGTAGCATAGTGCCTAAGGCACTTGACTGCTAACCAGAAGGCTGGTGGTTCAAACCCACCAGCCACTCCTCAGAAGGGAAATGGTGCGATCTACTTCTGTAGTGATACTGCCTCGGAAACCCAAGGAGGGGTCGCTATGAGTCGGGTCTGACTTGACGGCAAACAACAACAACAGAGCACTGTTACTTCTTTGAACTCAAGATGACACTGTTAAAATTGTAGTAGTGCACATAGTGAGAGATATGTAATAAAGACCTGGTGATCTACTTCTGAGCATCACAATGGTCAGATCCACAAACTCCAGTAGGAAAGGTGCAGGGTCAGGCAACACTTCGTTCTGTTTGCATTAGGTTGCCCTGCCTCATGGACCAACTCAATGGCAGCTAATAACAACAATGTGCTTCTTATAAAAGAACTCATATATCAATAGGAAAAGAATGTCAGAATTCAGGAGAAAACAAGAAAAGGAGTAATCAAGAACAAATATAGTTAATAAAAAAAAAATGAAAGGACATTGATACTCACAAGCAGAGAAAAAATGAAATTTAACAAGAAGAAATGAGAAATAATTTTCCACAGATAAGGTTGGCAAATAATAAAAAAAAAGATTGTTAATACCAATATCAGTGAAGATTTGGGTAACTAGATCCTCAATACTATGATACTTTGAGTGTAAATTAAAAAATATCCTGTTTGGAAGTCAGTTTGGAAAATGCATCAAAAGCAATAATAATGTTGATATTGATCCGTCTCTTGACTTCCACACTATTGCTATTTTGGCCTGCATAATTCTTTGTGGGGGTGGTTGGGTCCTGTGCTTTGGAGGCCATTTCATAGCATCCCTGGTCTCTACTGCTTAGTTAGATGCCAGCAAAGCCACTCCCAAAAAACACAAAACGCAAATGTCTTGAGACATTACCTAGTGTTACTTGGAGAACAAAATCTCTCTGGGGGGACCACAGATGTGGATTAATATTTATTGAGATGGAAATGTATCCTCCATATGTTTTTGAGTGGGAAAAGAAAAAAA